GTGTTGCCAGCTGATAAAATATCTCTTTAGAGCTGTTTATTAATGTGTGCTTAAAAGGGATACTTGTAGGTACCAAAGTATCTGTCAGATAGATGGCGAGACGATGCAGGCAGGTCTGAAGTTGGTCGACTGAAAATTCTAAAGCGAAGGTACTGGGGAATAGACATACTGCATATTGTTCAAGTTCCTGTAATTTAATATTGATATTTAATATTGTAATTTAATATTCACGGGTTATGAGGAGGCATTGCCATCGAATGGAGATAGCCGTCTTGGAGAAATGAATACATAATACAAATCCTGATTACCGGCGGCCGCAAAGGAAGTCACCAAGAAGACATCCCGTAGAAATATCTTGTAAGAAGTGACATGACATCAGATGAACTCACATATGAGTGAGAATTAATTCAATTCAATAAAAATGCCTATTCTGCACCCGGCATCTTTTCTGATCCACTATGACGAGGAATAAACAGGTGTTATTTTGGTATATGTCTGTGTCTTCTGAAAGCGCATTCTTCTGCATAGAATTGAAAATTGTTTCAAAGATTTCATCGAGACCTATGATCACCGATCTACTAAGCGGTTTATCCTGTATCGACCACTGAAGTGCAACAGTTTTATTTAGCAAATCGATGACTCAACCAAGTTTATTAACCGAATCAGCTTCACATGCCATAGACACAAAATGGCACCGCTGTCAAGCACAGTATAGGCAAGGAAAGTTCGTTTTACTATTTCTAGTACAAATGAATTATTCGTATCACTTCTCCAACTTTGCACAGTAATATCTTCGCTCATTTGCTCTTAAGGACCTAGCGGACCCCCCTATAGCACATTCAATACTGCATCAATGCCGCGTTACTTTTTCACCCATATTTATGCCTTTCAGGTGCTATACTTTAATCATCAGGCTAAGGCTGTTTATTAGTTAATGCTTGAGTACATGTTCGAAAAGGAAGGAGGTTACGTACAACGTGCTTCTCATGTATCTGTTAATGTTGCCTTCAACAAACGGTATTTTCCCTTACTGCACCGAATTGGCGGTTGGCCCGCTTCATAAACTCAACTCAAGTTTCCTGCTAATGACACTTATTAGAAAGTGCAAGTGGATTCGATATCTTATTATCTGTTTTTTTGTTCTTTTCCTTACTGTACGTTTTAGCAGACCGCCAGTGTCCGTAACTGCTTTTAGATGGGGAGGTCACCCGTTTTCAGAGGCTTTATGCAATGGTCTCAATTTTTCACCAATTCATAAAGATCCATTTCCTGGATTTTTAGACGTAATAATGCTAGGCTTTAAATATGCCTTAGCCATCTCGTACTTCATCTTCCATGTGGCTTTAAGAAAGGCAGGTATACGAGTTACTCTTTCATGCCCTGGGTTCCATTTGTGACCTCATGAGTCACGAGATAAGGGGACTGACCAGCAAGGTTGTATAGGACTGCTTCTTCCGACATCCGTCGATCCTCCTTATTGCAGTATTTCTGTGGGAAGCCTGATTTCTCATAATTGTATAATATTACGGCCTCTTTTAAAATTAATTATCATTGAGTTGAGCTTTATGTTGGATAAAAGAAAGGTAGCCAAATAGGCTGTTAAGAGCTTTGCGTATCAGAATGTTGCTGAGCGGTAGTAACTTAGAATCTATAGGGACATCTAATTTCCCCAATTACTTGAAATGTTTTACGCCCTGAAACCTTCAAAGTTAAACAAAATATTTGCACAGATATAAATCAGATATATATCAAATCCTTTCCAGTTAGTAGTTGATGTTTTTTGATGTTAGTTTCTTCGCATGTAGTCAAAAAATGTTTTACTTATATCGTGTTTTGTGTAGCACTGGAAAGCTGGAAGTTGTGTTTTTTTCGACTCCGGAATCTGACATACCCTCTTCATCTGAATCAACAGGAATTCCTCTGCAGCATAAATTCCTTACCGGCAACTTACCGTTCCAGACATTGGCTGCGGTATCAGAAGGTGACTTGTTTTCGAAAAAGTTAATGATCATTGGGATTAAATATTTTAAATACAGTCATCTTGTGGTCGTATTATTTATAACTGATAGAGCCTTGGTGTATGGCCGCTGCTTCTTCAGATTGAGAAGTCGCAGCTACGATGGTTTGGGCAAGTTTTGCAGATGCCTCTGGATAGGAAGGATGGAACAGTTACTATTTTTCCAAACGATCACGAAGACCCCGATAACGGCCAAGAATTACCTGGGGCAAGAGTCTTGGGTTATCTTCCGTTGAAGCTCAAACTCTGGCACAGGTTCGAGAGCGTTGCAAACACTGTCTGATGTGTCTGCCTACTTGATTCGAAGGGATAAGCGGTCATCGAGACTGACTGACTGACTGATTATTATTTATTGTGTTCACTTTCCGAGAACCACATCTATTTGGAAGATTGTTTAGAGGCTCAGTTATTCCTACCATATAGTTTGGCGCCAAGTAGCCCGCTAATTGATTACGAAGAATGATGAGAGCTGGACGTAGCTAAACGTAAAAACATTCAGACGTTGGTTTAGACACTTCTTCGAGGTTTTAAAAGAGTATACTTCTTTTACCTTTGAATAGAAAGTGCGATTTATGACATAGTGTAATCTTTTGGAAGTATGCCACCGGTCATAGGTAAGTAATGTAGGATGATGGGATTTTATTTTAAATTTGTTGAGCATCGTCCTTTGTTAAGAAGGACAACGGCATGATCGACCTTTCCATATAGGGTTGTCCTCAGAGTACCGTTCTACTAAATTATTTATCCTATAGATGGGGCAGCTCGTTATCTCTTTGCCACTTTCGCATCCATATCGCATCAGTTTTGCTACTACTATAGTATTTATTAAGAATTCTCTGTGCCATACTTAGCTTTGGCACTGAATTTATTATTATCGTCTTTGTCCTGTTCTCGGCCAGGGTAGTTTAATCTGTATATCTCTCTACTCAGTCAGAAGATCAGACTTTCGAATCTAAGGGCGGGCGGTCATGGTTGAGTTTTACTGTGCGAGAAGTAGATCAGAGACTACAATATCACAGAAATGGTATTTGTGCCGTGCGATGAGTAAAGGACTCCATGAGGAAAAGGTGCTAAAATTATGAGTAGAAGTGACTAACGGCTAGCAGTTATAAAGTTTTTTAGTCTCCACCATGTAAATTCCGGGATTGCTCTCTGAAAACTTATATATCTTACAAAGTATTATTTGATGCTTGACATCTATTTTCCAATTACCTTAATTACATTTAATGTGCAAACAGTTCCTGAAGTGTTAATGTTTGCTACCTTTGGTAGAATGACATTTCTTTGTTGTTGATTAAAGGCCTCTCTTTTCACAGCTTATAGTTCCTACTTTACAATCCTTTTTCGCTTTCCACCGTTAGGGTGCATTCATAGGTTTTCTGTATAGTGAATGGTATAAGAGAGGCTTTATTTTATTCATCAGGTCGTTTTATAGTGACAATTTTCATTTAATAAAAGGTATAGCAGAGTCACAAACCTTGATAGGTTCAATCAAACTATGATGATATCAGATAAAAGATCCGGAGAGTGAAAGCACTGCTGTACCCCACTGTCAAAACCGCTCTGGACAAGCATGGACGTATGTATGAATAGTTCCCATGCATCCAGGGGTGTGAACTTGCCTTTAGTCTTATTTTGCATTTAGCAACGGCGGACTGTTTGAGAATGTTCTCTGTTAGACAGTTTTAACAATTTGCTTATTTTTTGGTTAAGTTTATAAATTCAGCAACCTCTTCTTCATTAAATGTGGTTTATATAGACAAAATTGCGATCGAGCATCCTGAAAACGATATTGGAAGCCTGGCTCTTGAAGGCAGGGTCCTACAGAAGGCCGAGTGCCAGCCTCCTCCAAACAAGAAATATATGGACATGAAAGTGTAAGTTGGTATTCAAATCATAGTGTTTTTAATTTCTTTCATGTTGTATTTGTTTCAGAGTTTTTGCCTTGCGGATGTTTACTATTAGTTTATTTAGGTGTTGCCTTGCTAACCATAGTCTTCTGCCTCTGTTAAACGGTAGTGTATTTCGCTGCCTTCTTTTCCACACAAGACGGGCGAAGAAGGTACCTGAATCCTTAACGTATGACTAGTTGTTAAGAGAGCTGTTTATAAAAGCCAGCTTTTGGCTTACAAAGGAAATGAGCCCATATAAAGCCGCATTAATGAGCCAATATTTTCCTTCCGTATTTCACACCCTCTGTAAATATCTGATCAAACTAAACTTCGGTGTTTATCATAAATCAGTGAAGTATTGAAGGAACTCTATATGTTAAATATAATGAGCTACGTATTTCATTTGGTTCCATAAGATGCCGATCTACATAAGTGTTGGACAAGCGCTGAAAGGGAAAGGGCGAAGACAACCGAAAGTTCCGCAGGTGGTAAAGAAGGTATGCAAAAAGAACTCGGTGGCTGTGAAGCATGCAGTACAAGAAAGACTGCATATTATGGAACCAGTGAAAGCAATACATAGAGAGAGAATTTTTTAGTCGGAAGGTAAGGCTAGTCATTCAGTTAAATCACTGCATTGATAAAGCCGTCGGTATGGAATCAAGTTCGCACTGGAACGAAATTATGAAGCAGCTTCCATTATTGAATCAGAACCCTCCATAATGTAGTTGCTACCATACTGTAACGATTTTTATTGCAGCAGTCTCTGATTAATATTACGTTTTTCCCTAAAAGTGGATCGAGCATGATCTAAAATGTTGAAAAATATGTATATAATAAACTCGATATGCGGTATCATTCCATAAAGGAATTTCAAATTTTAAACTTCAGCAGTAGTATTTATTTATTGAGTATCTGGTTGTGTTATGGGTTATACTATAACAGTATAACTTGGAGATTCATATAACGCTGTTTTTTGCCTCCCCTTATTTATCTTACCTTATACTCTTCCTCTAGCCTTTCCTCCTTTTTCCTCTCACTCTAATATTTTCTTACTCTTCTTCTTCAGCGTCGTCTTCATTGACTTTTTCCTCTTAGCCCTGCTCAATTTTCCTCCTCTACTTATTGCTCCTAGTTGTTTTTCTACTTTCCCTTGTTCCTCATTTCCTGTTCTTTTATTTTCTTTTGCTGATGATAGTAATCATCTCTTGATTGAAAATTTGTAGTTAGTTATTAAGGTTAATTTCTGATTGAAGTTGCTAATTTTAATTGGAATTCATTTTCAGAAATCATATCGAAAAAATTAGCAAGCCTGAAAAGCAGATCATATCCATCAATCGGGCGGAAGTGAAGTTCAAGCCGATCGCTAGACATGCGGAAGACGTAAGTGTGATAAGCGTGATAATTTAAGCGATCGATTTCGGCGTTGCCTCTGAGCTCAGCTGTTGTTTAAGCTCTTTGCAGGCTTATTCATTGATAATAATGGCAGGAAAAAGCAACCAGTTGATTATGTTTAATTTTTATATAAAGGGTGAGTAAAGGAAATTACATCATCACAGTTTTTAAATTGTTTCTTTAAACTATAAATCGAGATACCTATGAATGGAACCTCCTTCCACAGAAATTTATTGTATAGTTGTGCTTTACGTAACAGTAATAATAACAAAAATAAAGCTATTTTCGATTCATATGGATGACTATTCAGTGTAGAAACTGCGACAAAGTTTTGTGCCTCATTCTCTTCGGTGTCATTCAATAATGGGTGTTGGCACAGTGGTACAGTGTCTACGAGGTCAGCTTCAAACTCCGGAGGTGTTAGGTTCGATTCCGCTCAACGAATTCCCATGAACAAAGAATTTACGCGGATTGCTTCAGATCGGAGTTGCTCAGTCGGTAGGGCGTCGAACTCAGAATCGATAGGTCCTGAATTCAATTCCCAGTTGGGGTCACACTCCATCATTTCTTCCGGGAAGGAAGGAGGAGCCAACGCGTTATTCTCGTCACATAGCTGTAGACTCTGTTTTTAAAATATGGCACTACTGACTGATGGCACAGAAACTGAGATCAGCACCGCGCAATGAATTTTATGAAAGGAATGGCGCAAAAGTAGGCCAGTCATGAATGTGAAGAAAGGCCGACATTTCATCCATGACGAGCTTTCCTTTTCCTTTCCATTCATTAATGTGATTCATCCAGCATTGATTGTATGGTTCTTCTAGTCCATAAGTTATCTTCGTTTGTTCAGAGGGTATTCGGGTTGAAGAGAGGCCATCGCCCAGTTTTTTTTGGAGATAAATAGAGAGAGAGGCATTGAGGGAAGGAGGGAGGGGTGCCTCTGTGTGAATTTGCAATCAGTGTATTTTTCTCTTAGACGAAATGGCCGTAACAGAATAACTTTTCACCATCCGAGTCCTTTTTTACCGTTATTAGTGGCTCATTAAAAGGCAGTTTTAGAGTACACAAAACGTATTTACGATTTACGAGTGGCAGTGTACTCCACCGTACTTACCTGTTCTTATCATATCTCTTATTTCGACTGTGGACGATTTTGCATGACGTGGATACTGAGATTGGATTTGTGAGCACCATTCCTCCCTTATTACGATACTACTCTATATTTATCGTAAACTTATGGAAAGAGCGGTTTCTTAAGGAACATAGGTTCAGGTCATTCAGAATGATCGGCCGTTAATTGGCGTTTTGTATTCCGTGTCAATGACATCCTTCAGACTAGTACTTAGCTTTTCCTGTTGGTGGCATTGATTCTTGTTTAATGAGTTGCTTTTGCGTTTAGCTGTAATTTCGGTTTCTGTAATTGTTTTTATGATCGAAATCAGGTGAAACTGAAGTACTTTAATTTGAAACGCGCACATCAGGCGAGTATTTCCTGAGGTTTTATTCTCTAATAGACCTGAATTTAATGTTAGCCTATTGGATTCATTCAGATGACTTCATTCTTTATTCAGAGCAATCATTTTTTGAACAGCAGATATGAGCTTGCAGTCTCTCTGTGCAGATTTGTAATCAGATTATTCTGAATATTTTGATGTATTCGATATTTTGATCTAGTTCTGAGCTCTAAGCAAGTTTCCTGTATACGCACAAGGGAATCTGTCATTATCTCA